CTTAGAGGTGCGCGTGTGCGAGTATGTTGTGTTTCAGTTATTTATCTTTAAATATTTAGGTTTTCTACCGTTTGTTTTCAGATCTTATCATGCAATCCTATTAAGCATACATCTAACAGTTAAATATTTACAAATACGGAAAATAAAGTGCGGGAATTTGGATCTACGCTATTACAATGCTTCAGGATGGGGGAAATTACAAACCAAAAATGGGAAAAAAATGTAAATGTCCTAAATTAAGTTATTACAACCCTTTGTACAATTACATAATATTTTTGAAAATAATAATGCGAATAAATAAACGCGCGGAGAAAAGAAAGCCCTAAGAAATTTCTAAGTGATAAAAAAAGATTTTTTGTTGTTTTTGCATTTGGAAAAATAATAATTAAATTAATGGAAACCTAATTCTAATTAGTTTAATTAATTAAGAAAAGGATGATTAAATAATTAATTAAAATTTACAATAATTAAATTAATTAGAAAAACTTAAGTCTAATATTTTTTGTGATTTTTTGATTAAATGTTTTTTTAATAGAAAAAAGAAATTAATTGAAATAAAAGAAAATAAATAAATCAAAAAGACAAAATGGGTCGCGCTGCAAAAATGAAAATGAGGGGTAAGAAAGAAGCAGAATTAAAAGCCAAAACTGAACAAAGCCTAGTTCTACGCTGGATCCAGTGTGGATAACGTCTTGGGGTGTACCACAGGGACGCGCCTTTGAGGCTTTAGATCTGGCGTTTTCAGATTCCCAACTGGAGCTATTTGGTGCGGTTGTTTTGGGCGTGGATTGACTTGGCAAGAGGCCTGAGTAGACTCTTGGAAGTCTCAGAAATGTGATTTTCCCACTTGTTTGGACTGATAGCGCCTGAGAATATAGCTGCGAATTCTTATAACTTTTAGCAATTTTTTAGAATCTTGTAGAGCTTTCTTATAGCTATCTATGTGTATGCCTGTGCTTGCATTGTATTGTGTATTTATAGAGGAGTGAGGAGAGCAGACCAATATGGCAAGGAATCAAGCTTCAAGGCCATGAGACAAAAAATCCAACATATTGAAAGTTGGTCATATTTGAATGATTTTTACCAATTCTATTTTTGCATGAACCTAGACAATTTTTGTTGGTCTTTTCACAAAATATTGGGCTCCGTGATGGGTCAAGTTAAGCCCAAATGCATTATCCCATGTTTTATTGTATTTTTATTTGATTTTAAATTAAATAAAATCAAGATAAATATAAATAAAAAAAATAAAAAATAAAGGTCATACAAAAATGGACTTAGAGGTCCTCTAAGATGTTATGGACATGTTTGAACATAAAAAACTAGGCTCATAGGTTCAAAAATACAATTTTGCTCAATTTGTACTTCATGAATTTCTTCAAAATTCTCCAACTCGTACAACTCATAACTTGCTCAATTTTCATCTTTTGAAGATGATCTCAGACTTTTTAGAAATCCCAAGATGTCCTCTATAATCTGTATGTTAATCATTTTTGCTTTTGAGTCCTAACTCCATTACCAACACTCTTTGAGATTTTTGAGCTTTGACAACGCCAATGGAGGTTGCAACTCGATGATTCGGGGTTAAAGATTCTTTGTAGTATCCATTTGTGTGGTTTATATGTAAGTTTACTCTGATTTTATGTATATGTACTGATTATGGCATTGTATAAAACCTCTTTTACAAATAAATATTGATGTTTATCCTTGTTTTTGCTTTGTGCGGGGATTTGAGTTGCTATAGACATATACTCCTAAAATCTTGTTCTTGGATGATTATCTGTTAGATTCTAGACTCTAGAAATATATTTATGTATAATAATCACAATGGATATCAACTCCTAATGCCTCCGTGTTATTTGAGTTGCGCGAGACATCATCAACGAGAGTAAAACGATTGATATCTCAACTTTGCGTTAGACTTAACCTCTATTGTGAGCGATACATGGTGATATTGACGAGTGATTTAGGTTGAGTACAATTAATAAGTAGGTTTAAGTATTTGATGGGTAGATGAAATTCAATCATGACAAGTTCTCTTCTCTCCAAAGAATACATTTATTTTCTTGTTCATATGTTTTAATTTCCGCACCTTATACTTTAAACCCATTTAAAACCAAGACCAGAGACGTAGGGAATATTGAACTACATTCTTTACCTCACGCTGATCCATGTGGAGACGATAAACAAAACTAAAAATACTTACTTTTGCTTGCTGCTTTACTGCAACAACAATGATTCAGAATCTGGTGGTGATCATGCTTCTGGAAGGGAAAACTCTGAAGACGTGGGTTCTAGAGGACAAGCTTCTGGAGGAGATCATGGTTTTGAAGGATGTACTTATAAAGGACAAGCTTCTGGACGAGGTCTAAAAGCTAACACATTTCTAGGTTCTGTAGAAGATTCAGAACAAGTTCAGAGACCACAAAGAATCAGACAAATACCAAAAAGGTTTGCAGAGTTTGACATGTTGTAAGACACTGAAGTAGATTCAGAGGGAGAAGTTGTTAAGTGTGCCATGTTAGTAGATTCTGAACCAGTGGGTATTGAATAAGCTCTCAAGAAGAAAATGTGGTAAGGCCATGAAAGAAGAACTTGAGGATATAGAAAGAAACAAGACTTGGGAGTTGACTGAGTTTCCGAAGGAGAAGAAATCCATCAACTCCAGATGGGTTTTCAAGGTGAAATTAAAGCCAGATGAATCAATTGGCAAACACAAAGCAAGGCTAGTGTCTAGAGGTTTTCTTCCGAAACTCGGGCTATATTACTTTGAGGTATTTGCACCTGTAGCTAGACATGAAATAATCAAATTGGTGATTACTGTAGATGCAAATAGGAATTGGCCTTTGATGCATCTGGATGTGAAATCTGCATTTTTGAACGGTCCATTACAAAAAGAGATATATGTGTCACAACCTCCTGGATTTGTGAAAAAGAATTAGGAATGGATGATGTACAAGTTGCATACAACTTTTTATGGGTTGAAGCAAGCTCCTAGAACTTGGAACTTGAAGATTGATTCATTTTTCAAGAAGCAAAGATTTTAGAAGTGTGAGATTGAGTGTGACGTTTATGTGCAGCATAGAAATGTGATTTTAGCGTCTCTCTATTTTGATGGCATATTGCTAACAAGTAGTTATTATGAGGAGGTAGTCAAGTTCAAGAAGGTGTTAAAAAATGAGTTTGATATGACTGACCTAGGAAAGATGGTATACTTTCTAGAAATGAAGGTATTATACTATGAGAAGGGTATAATTTTGCATCAGGTGAAATATGAACTTGAGCTTCTAAAAATGTTTGAGATAACAAATTGCAAGACTGCAATCACACATGCTGAGACGAATCACAAGTTGGATCCTGATATTGAGGGTGATAATGTAGATGCTACAAATTCCAAACAGTTGGTTGGCTCATTGAGATATATGTGTAACACCAGACCTTATATTTGTTATGCGGTTAGAATGGAGTATGTTTATCAACAAACTGAAGTGGTCACATTACCAAGTTGCTGTCAGGATTCTGAGGTACATTAAAGGGATTCTGAGGTATGGAATGTTGTTCCCTTCTAGTGATAAATCAGATGCAGAGCTGGTATTCTATTCAGACTCTGATTGGTGCGGAGACAGAGTTGACAGAAGAAGTACTTCTAGATATTTTTTCAAATATTAGCGAAGTCCCATCTCTTGGTGCTCTAAGAAGCAATCTGTGGTTGCGTTGTCAACTTGTGAAGCTGAATACATTGTAGATGCTTTGATTGCATGTCAAGCTGTTTGGCTGATGAATTTGTTGTAAGATCTGAAGATCAAGGTTAGCAAACATGTGAAGTTGATGATTGACAATAAATCAGCTATAAGCCTCGCAAAGAACCCAATGTTGTATGGGAGAAGCAAACACATTGACACAAAGCTCTATTTTCTGAAAAGTCAAGTCCAGAATAGAGTGCTAGAACTTGCACACTGTAGCACCCTGAAGCAGCTTGCAAATATTCTGACAAAAACTGTCAAGACTGGACACTTTATCCATTTGAGGGATGACATTGGTGTTTTAGAATTTTAGTCAGCTGAATATGAGTTAATGAATGCTGTTAGAAGTAATTCATATTCAGAAGTATCTGTATTAGTCAAAAGCAGAGACTTCTGAGATTGTGTTCCAAAAATATATTTAACTTCTGAAATTCTAATTTATTTTAACTTATCTATTAAATTAATTTTTATTAGAACATACATGATCATTTGTTTTGTGTAAACAAACACCTTTATAACTAAAGTTTTAACATATATTTAATATACAATTTCTTTTTCACTAAATTATTATAGTATAATTTATTTTTCTCTCTCTCCTTCCATTTTCATTTTTCATCATTAATCTTTTATCCATTAAGGGATTGTGTCAGAGTTGAATAGATTAAAAGTGCATAAAGCAATATATTTAGAATTCCTTTGTAAGGGATGCATATATTTCTCATTTAAATACAAATCCGGTAAAATGAAAGAGAAATAATTTATAACCAAAAACGAGTATTTGATTTATCTTTATTTTAATTTTCATTTTCATTTTCATTTTGTAATAATGATAAAATGAAATTTCCAACGACGCGTTATTTCCTGCGCTTAATCTAGAAAATCAAAGACCGCCACGTGTCCAGTCGTAGCTAATAACCAAATCAACGCAACGATTTTTGGCTGTATTAGACATATTAACCGTTCGTTCCTCCGATACTTACAAAGTTTTTTTCTTTTACTTTTTTGTGTCTCATAAATCAGACAGCAGCATCCCAACCGTCAAATAATCAAACCTCCATAAATATAAACGGTTAAGATCAATCCGACAAAATGTATAAATAAAACACACAACTGTGTCAATCTCTAATCGTACTATTGTTTATGTTTTGAGCTGTCTCTGTTCTCTCAATTGTTTTATCGTTTCTTCCACCGTTACTTTTTTCCTCCTCCGCCGTCTCCGCCATCTCCTCCTCCGTATCCACTGTCGCCGTCGTTAGGATGTCTTCCATCGAATCGCAGATGGAACCACTAACGTCGGGAGCTAGCAACCGGATAATTCCGCTTCTGAAAGCGTTTAGAGGATCGCTTATCTTTGTTTACACTTTCTTTCTGTCGTTTCTTTTGTTCGTTCGACGGAACAGGGTGGCGGTGCCGGGTTCTCCGAAGAAGAATTTGAAGAAACGGTGGTTGGTTAGAGAGGAAGAGGATACGTTTAGGAGAAGAGAGTTGGCGCAGGATGTTGGAATGGGTCGTGACGACGGTTGTTGCCGGTGGAATACTTCGATTTTTTATGGTGTGAGGAATAACGCTTTGTTTTGTCGTTCTTGGTTCCCGGTTTTTGGTGATCTTAAGTAAGGTTTTTTCTGGTTTTGTTTCTTTCTATTTCGGAAGTATTTGTTTGTTTTCTCTTGATTTGTGTGTTGAAATTTGAAATTTTATGCCTGTTTTGTTACTATAGTTTCTAAGTAGAGATTGAGATTAAGCTTCATAGTGGGGGTTAAGATTTTAGGTTGTTTCAGTTGCAAAAACTGAGAAATTGTACTCATAAACCTGATAGGAAATTTAATTGATACAAATTTGGCAAAATTAACCTAAGCACAGACACAGGTGAACATTTGAAAAAGTTCATTAATTGAATATAATCACATGAGTCATCATTAATTAAATATAATCACATGAGTCATTATCGTGTGTCACACACACAGACTGACACACAGACACTGTCACACACAAGCCTTCCATCACAAGGTTTTAGTGCTATAGGGAAATAAACTCTTATATTATGTTGTTCTTTGAATGCGATTTGGTTTGCATATTGGTATGCTGTATTGGTGACTGAAATGATTGATTTGGCATTGTGTGGGGAATGGATATTGCCGGTTCTTTATTAATTTTTTGGGTTCTATTGCATGCAATTGCGTGATTTGTCTTTAACATTTGACTGAACTCAAGTTTTTTCCCTTCCTTGTGTTCTTTTAGGGGCATTATGATCATCATTCACGGGCTCAATGAACACAGGTAATTTTGCTTTGTATTAACTTAAATTGTATTTTTCAGAGCTCAATGGTTGTTAGTTATAGGATTAGACCTGTGAGGTTCACCAATGCCTTTAAATCTTCCCTATGGTTGTTACTAAGATAAGTAGTTACAAATAGGTGTTGCACCCATTTCTGACTCTATGCTCATTTTTCAGTGGAAGATACGCAGATTTTGCTAGGCAGTTAACATTGTGCAACTTTGGTGTGTATGCAATGGACTGGATAGGTAATTTAATTTTGCTGTATGCATTTGGAGTCCCTGTACCTCAATTTTATTTTGGTGTTTTATCACCCTTATCATCATTTTGTGACTGGTCTAAAGTTAAATGTTATATTGCTACAGGTCATGGAGGTAGTGATGGATTACATGGTTATGTTCCTTCTCTTGATCAAGTGGTTGCAGACACAGTAAGTATCTTTCCACTATCCTTAATTGTAGAAATATTTGTTCTTGTACTTAGAACTTTAGGATTCGTTGAGTTTCTATCATTTTGAACATTGGGAAGGTGTTAGAGAAAGATGTTTGGCAAATTGCGTTTTCAAATGCCATTTCGTGTTTTGATCTGTGGCACACTTTGTATACTGATGGTGATAATATAAACAGGGAGCTTTCTTGGAAAGTATTAAATCAGAGAATCCTGGGATACCATGCTTTCTCTTTGGTCACTCCACTGGTGGTGCTGTGGTGTTGAAAGTAAGACCGAAACTTCTATAAACCTCTCTATTATTAAATTTGTCTTTGTTGAATTTTCAATTTTAATTTCTGCATTTTTTTATGTAGGCGGCATCACACCCTCAAATTGAAGCGATGGTGGAAGGAGTTATATTAACCTCACCAGCGTTGCGTGTGAAGCCTTCTCACCCAATAGTTGGTGTAAGTTTTGCATTTGTAGGCTAGGCATGAATCATGATGCTTGACATCGACGCGTTACTGTTTTGTTGCTTTTTTCCCCGCAGTATGCCGATACTTATTTCGTATTTGTTTGTTTGATGTGTTTATGCAGGCTGTTGCTCCAATATTTTCTTTGGTAGCTCCGAGGTTCCAATTCAAAGGAGCAAACAAAAGGGGCATTCCAGTTTCAAGGGATCCAGCAGCCTTAGTGGCGAAGTACTCGGATCCTCTAGTCTACACCGGACCTATAAGAGTCCGAACTGGCCACGAAATACTGCGAATATCGTCGTACTTAATGCGAAACTTCAAGTCAGTGACAGTACCATTCTTTGTCCTGCATGGAACTGCTGATAAAGTAACCGATCCATTGGCATCACAAGACTTGTACAACAAGGCAGCTTCTGAGTTCAAAGACATAAAGCTTTATGATGGCTTCTTGCATGACCTCTTGTTTGAGCCTGAACGTGAAGAGATAGCTCAGGACATTATCAACTGGATGGAAAAGAGATTATTCAACAATATCTGAAAATGTCAATAATGGAAGGTTGAATGAATATTAAAAAAAAAGAAAAAGAAATCGCCCCGAAGAGGGGGTGGCGGATGCAGATAGGTTATTATTATTTTTTATTTTATTTTGTTTAGGTGTTGGACATATATTAATATAAATATTATTGTCTGTGGGGATTGTTATCCATTGAAAAGTGTGTATATTTAATTTAATTGATTTTAGTTTCAGTGGTTTCTTCTTGTTGTCAATGATATGCATACCTTACTTCATATGTTATGGTGTATGTGCTCTAAAGACCTTGATCTTAAAATCATCAGCACTACTGATCAACAAATATCTTTCTCTATTAAAGATAGAGATCTTTGTTTTGACATTTTTGCTATATGTGCCTCCCTTATTATGTGAAAAGAAGAGAGCTTTTGTAAACCCTTCAAAACTTCTAGTCCAATTATAATAGGGCTCTACATAGAAGAAATCTTTTGGAATGAGAAAACAAAAATACTGTTTCTTTTTCACAAAATGGCTAAAATCAGGCATTGCACTAAGTTAATATCCAGCACTTGAGATGGTCCCAACATTTAAACTGAGCCTTCTTCCATTGCAAGCCTCACACTTTGAGAACATGTTCATCAACTCTAACAATGGTGTGGATAACAACCCAATGTTCATCGACTCCATTTCCTATGTTATGTCGGTATTTTGTATAGATTTCAGGTAATTTGACTAAATGAGAGTCATACGCGAAGAAACTAAGTAATTTAGGCGGAAAATAGAGAAAAATGGGGGTATATTACATTCAAGGCGACCACCATGACGATCACCACATAGGTGGTCATCAGTGGTCTATGCGCGACGATTAGAAGACTAAGTCATAGCGATATTGAGAGCATGGTGTTCGTCATGAGGGGTGTGGCGGTCGCCACACGTTGAAAAGCGCAACAATTACATTTTGGGTTGGATTTGGTCTCCCACTCTTCCATTCACTCCTATTTCTTCTCCCACGAATCCAACAGCTTCCTTGAGATATTTTAGGACTTTGGAACTCTATAAATAGGTCTTTGGTTTCACTTTTTAAGGCATACAAGCTTAGTACAAACTTAAGCCATATATTATTGCATTTTGTAAGCTTTAACTCTTCACACCGTAGGGTTATTGCACTATCGATTGAGTCTGTATCAAGTTTGGAGTAACCTTTGTAGAAATTTAATCTTACCGTCATTTCATTTTCCGCATTCAAGTCTTCCAGTTGATTTATTTCATGTATACGATTATCGTCTCTTCAGAGCATATTTTTATTAATCGCATTACTTTTATTTTATCATCTCTATTTTTATATGCACTAAACTCACTTTAATTTAATTTTTATCAATTGCATGTTTCCAACCTTGTTTTCTATGTCTACTATGCTTTATTCCATGATCAAATCAATTATTTTGTCGCATGTTATAATCATTGTCTAACTAAATTATAAGTGTTGGAATGTGACGATCGTCGATACGACGGTACTCTAAATTGTTGTTCTTTGAGAATTACTTACGTAATTGTTTTGATTTTATAACAATTTTTCTAAACTTAACTTATTTGGTTGCTACGAAAGTAGGACCATTTATATGCCGAATAAGATTGAAAGTCGTCCGGTACAAAAGATTAAGATTGTTTAATTTTTAATTGATAAATATCGCGAAAGCTCTTTGTTAATTAATTAGGAAAGCTAGCTGTTTTTAGAAAGTGTTTTTAAACCTATTTTCTGACGCGTTTATGTGTTTAAGGTACGGTTGGCTGAGCGAACGCCAGGAACCCTTTAAAGTCTAATTTTCTAGTCAAAATTACTTTTCATCTGAGTAAAAGAAACTTATTTCTAAAAAATGTATTTACTTTTTAAAAGAAAAACGCGACGAGCACGCGATAGTGGTCAGTATAAATTAGAGGGTAAAATCTGGTTCCGATTACGCGGCAGAGACAATTCATTTTTAATTAGTTCTTTTTCAAAAAGGAAAATATTATCCCATAAGTAGTTCAATTTAGGAACAATAAGAGTATCAACGAATCAATGAAATCTACATTCCAACATTGTATTTATGAATTAATTCTATTATTCTATTTCTACTTTATTTTCCGTATGTCCAATCATTATTTTAATGGCCTTAGATAAACATCGTAGCAATAGATAACGATAGTTTGACTATTAGGTCTTTGTGGGTTCAATAATCTTTGTATTACTCTGATACTTTTTGTGCACTTGCGAAATACCCCATCAAATTTTTGGAGCCGTTGTCGGAGATCAATTATGTCAAATATCAAAACTCTGTTGTTACACTGACTAGACTAAGGCATACTTTTTATAATGGATCACCCAATTTTTTCCTACAACCACCACCATAAATATTTTGAGGTACCACAAATTTCTTATAAATCCAATCTCGAAATATTAGTAGAGAACTTTATTAATATGCAAACTCTCTCTATGTTAGAATCTATAATGCGGAGGTTCGTGGCAACCCAAACCGTCCAGAATAAGGAATTTAGAAACCAAATTCTCCATGTTAATGAAACTCTTAGAAAACTGAGCACTGTGGCTAAATCTCTAGTAACTAGCAACAAGGAATTATAGACAAAAATCTCACCGCTTGCACAAACACCACTAGGACTCTCCATTGAGCGTAATGAAGATGTTATAACAATCGATAGTAAAAAACCAGTAGAAAAGCCTAAAAAGAAGAATAATGTGATTAAGGAGAATTACAGTCTCTTTCCACCAAATTCCTTAGAAACCAAGATTAGTTCACAGTAAAAAAAGAATAATATGATGTCTAAGGCCCCACATAGAAGGGAAAAATTAGCAAATCATAGAACTAGAGATGTCATAAATTTTAAAAATAAAACATCAACCTTTATGGTAAAAAGTAAATGTGTTAACACCAAACCAGAGAATCCAATACCTAAGATAGGGCCAAAACTTCCCCTACCATTTGAGACATGAACCCCTCTACCGTGGAAAGAAAAGAAAATGCGAAGGATATGAGAGATGACTTGATAAATGACCTTGGAAACTGAATATTACAAAAGATTTGACTGAGAATTCGTTCTGGATAGAGTCACCGTGATTATATCCTTAGTCGAGCTACCGATATTAAACGAAGCACTGCATGGGAGGAAACAAATAATTCTTTATTTTTATTATTTTACTAATTTTCTTTAAAACGATGAATTATTTCTTCTAACACAGCTAACTTGTGTGATCTCTTACATTTCAAGTCTCATCGTTCAACATAGCTTATTCTAAATATATTTTCAGAATGCAAAAATTTGATGACATGGAAATCCAGTTCAGAGATGACGATCAGAGAAACCGCTATGCAGTCCTATCTGAGAGACCTATGCTACCAACCAGATATCATGACTCCACTTGCATGGAAGCCCTAGGGATTGATTCTAACATTAGGTACATGTGTAACTGTTGTACCCCAAAATTTGCCCTCTCCTTTTTCAAGACATTCCTCACAAATGATCTCTATTTCTCAAGGATTCTCAAGGAATTGATCAGACAAAATCATCTCCGAAGCACTGGGACTCAAAATTAGGGTTGCTAAGGATGACCAATCTTTGATTTTTGACCCAGTACATGACTTATTAGTTTAAAACATGATCTCAAGGGTTCAAGTACATCATTTTGACTTAATCACATATTTCAATTCATCTCCCGAGATCAGTGGATTGATAGATAAAATTTGGTCAACCGACAAAAAAGTCAACTGTACACTGAAAAGTCAAATTTTGACTTTTTTAAATCAAAATTAAGTTCCAAAAATCACATTTTGCCAAGACATTCAAAATATGAAATTTGATCATCAAAAATCAAGAGAGCCAAAAATCTAACTTTGCAAAACTTGGAAATTTTTCTAAGTATTTTCTATACTTATTAATTTCATTGCTTCATGATATCTTTTCACTACAATTCAAAATAATTCAAGATGTTACAAATAATTTAAGTTATTAAAAAGTGGAATTTTTGCAAGATTACAAATTCTAAAATTTGTCTTGGTTAAACTTTTCCCTTTGACTCAAACCTTGCCACTATGCTGTCCACAAAACTAAACTAGTGTCATGCTACAAACAATGTTGTCCAAACTACTGCTGAACAAAACCCTATATGCTTCCAAGTCCAAGCCTGCTGTATTGTCCACATAAAAGCCCAAAATTATGTAAAAAACAATCTGTTGTACTTCTATAAAACAACCATGCACCAAGCTGCCACAACACTAGAGTTACTGCAAAAACAGCCCTGCTATGCTACTACCAGCCCAGTCTAAGCCTGCATTATCTCAGTCCCATGTTTGCACCAAATTAGCATATGAGAGCCACACCTAAAAACCTATGAAGATAACATACCCAAACAATTCAAATTGTCATTTGTTTCCCTCCCAAAATCCCAACAAAACTCATCTATAAATAGACTATTTTCACAACACACAAGGGGTTGGCTTTTAGAGAGAGAATAGAGAGTTTTTGAACAAAAAACAGAAGTCTTTGTAACCTTTGATCATTCAAAAAACCAACTCTACTTTAATTCAAAACAGAAACCCTCAACCCATCATTCCATCTTACAAACTCTCCCATAAACCAACCATCCAAACACTTCACATTACATAGAGATTGTTCAAACGTAAGAACAATTTATGTGGTGGCGTTATCTTCCCCTTCCAAACACAAAAACAATACTGTACATCTTGATTGGGTTGGTGTTGGTTCAAACAACTTGGAACAACTTTATGGAGGTTCACTAAGGCCCTCACAACATCTTGAAAATTATTTAGATTCAAAACACCAAGTGCTGTCTCAAGGTAAGTCTTGACTTTGAATTTTTTTATACATCACTAATAATTTAATTTTGAAGAAAAAATGTAGTAATCATTTCCCCTTGAAGCTAACCATTTGCTTGCTGTTTTTTTATCAATCATATGCTGTGAACTGACTTGTACATACCATAAAACAATGTTGGAACTAAAAAACGGAAGCAT